CCCCCCCCCCCCCCCCAATCCCTCCCAAGCCCCCACTCGATCCATTGCAGGGTACTCTCTACCATTCTGCCATATTACCTCAACAATTTACCCATTTATACAACTGGGTGGATAGAGGCACTGTGAGGGGAAAATGTCTTGCCCAAGAACAGAGCAGAACAAGCCCAGGCAGGGCTGAAATCTGGACAGCCAGACCTGGAGTCCAGCACATTAAGCATGAGGCCACCACACCTCCCATCATCTACATATATGCTTCCTTATGTAAAAAATTAAAACTAATCTTAATATTTATCACAAGGGACAGCAATATTACCACTGTTCCCTTCCCCAGCATCCCCGGCTTGTCCATCACCAGCTGGGTTGTTGTTATTATGAGAGTTGGAGCCTGAAAAAAAACAAAAAGAGTGATCAATAAATTCTTGTTGTAAAATCCAGGAAAAGCATAAACATTTACATATATACATTTTGTTGCAAATCAAACACAGACAAATCCGTGAAGGATAGTGATTAAAAAAAAAAAACATTTTTGGTTTCAAAACTGTTGCTGCACCAATTAAGCTTGTGGCTTAATTCTAGATGTTTGTCATACAGTTATGAAATGAGGAGCCCCTGTTCAATATCATAATTATAAATTAATTACGTAGTGAGAAACAACAAAGAGGATATGCAATTCCTGTCCTCACACACTGCAGGGTTGTCATAATGGGCTGTAACCCATAATACTTGTTACGGCTGAGGATGTTTGATAACCCTTGATGCTACGGGTGAACTCACCTGTAGTTGATACAATTCACCCAAAAAGTACCAAGTTTGTTATGGGTGTGAAGATCAAGGCTACAGGTGAATCAAAACTTAATGACAGCCCTGCATTCTACTTCTCAGCCTCCCCTGACTTTTATCCTGTTCTCATGGATAACACAGGGGACCACTAAGGATATTGGTTTCACAAGCTCCTGCCCCCCTCCCCCTCAATATGCCTTTCACCCTACTCCCCCACCCCCTCCCATCCCATGCATGTTAAATCAATCACTCTACCTGTCCACTGAATGTGAACCACATCAGTTTCTTTTTTGATGTTTAATTTGTTGGGAACAAAATCATATTCAACAGCTGGATAAACCTGCAAAAATATAACAAAAATTAATCAATAAATACAGTAAACAATTAAAATATGTCAGTGTGTTTATTAAGAATTTTAATGGACATTGCTGGTTTTAAATTAAAATCTCTAGATCTGAAGTTAAGCCCTGGGAAACGATCACAAGATTTCAATGCAACATATTGCAACATTGCTGGGCACATGTTGTGTACATTTGACCACCCTGTTGCAAAGTGTTGCCACTTATCAGAGGTTGATATTTTCAACACCCAACATGTCTCAACACGTCACAACAAAGTGGCCAAATGCACACAACAAGTTGCGCACAACAGTGTTGTGATATGTTGCATTGAAATGTTGTGATCATTGGGCCGGGGCATTATGTATTTATGAATTATACTTGCATGTAATGATACTTAATAAACATAAGTACAGTTGACCCCGGCTAACTCAAACCTTCAAGGAATTCAACAAAGTTTGAATCATTAGGAGTTTGATGGGTGCAAATGAACAGAAATTATCCCAAATTATCCCAAATCATTTTAATTTCACAATTTACCAATATTATCTATTATTATAATTAGCCGGTTGTTTCGGCCTTGACAATTTATCATAATCAGCAATTCTTGTACTAAGAATTAAGCTTGTGAAGTTGCTCTGATAACACCGGACATTACTATATCAAGTACATTGAATATTGATTTTTCCTCTCACATTATTGGTACCTTAAAAGTATTGTACATTGAATTTATTGAATATTGAATATTGATTACATTGAATATTGATTTTTCCTCTCACATTATTAGTACTCTGCAAAGAAGTTAGAAAATAAAACCCATACTTGACATACATTGTAGTATATTACTCAACTAGATATTGCTTTTAATTATAAAGTTCATAGAGCTGTTTTCAACTGAGTGTCATAAAACCAAAACCAAATAGACTACAAGTAGGCAGTCCAGTGAACCAGTCAAAACTAAAACACAAAGCATGAGGAAATGCGTATATAATGTGACTGTATAACTGTGACTCACTTGCATACATTCCGCCATGCTTTGTGTTTGAGTTTTGATTGGTTCACTGGACTGTTTGCACTTTTTGATTGCGTGGCTAGAGTGATCAGCCAATTACTGGTTTTATTTTTACTTCCGTTTGGATGAAAAAGTGACGCAAGTTTTTAAAGCCACTCATGCAGTGCAGTGATACAATCTTGAGAAATAACTTCTTAATAATTAAACGAACTCTGTTTGATCCATTATTACTGACAATACCTGTACAATGTTGCCTCTCTTTCCACGAACATTCAAATTGTAAATGTTTTTGTCAAATGGTACAGCATCTGTTAACCGTTGGCTTAGCTGAATTATGTGTGATCTGTCCTGGAATGTCCTTCCATATTGAGCTGTATTTATTGCAAGTTTTAATGGTGACGAACCACCAATGTCAACAGCAGGGTTTTGCTGAATCAACCTGAAAATGATTCACAACATACAATATCATTCCACAGTCAAACGGATACTTTTAGCAGCATCGACAGCACATATCTTTTTAAATAGATGTTTTGGTTTTTGAAAGAAGAGGAGAAGAAGACCGAAAGAAAGGGTGTCTGGAAAACCCGAATAGCGAATAGCGAATTGTCGCGAATAGTGAATGGCGAATAGTCCTGAATAGTGCGAATAGTCTCGAATAGTGCGAATAGTGGCGAACAGTTGCAAAAAGTGGCGAATAGTGACGAATAGTTGTCAATAGTCACTGCTTTAGATCTAATATCCAGTGTTAATTAATTATCCAAATAAGCAACAGAATTTCAGTGGATTTATTACCTTTTCTTCTCTGGACTCAGGCTAGTAGGCTGTCCATTGCCGACATTAAGAAAACAGAAAACACAAGGATAACCTAATAAAGACGTATTTACGCTTTTGCAGCAATTAAAACAGAAGAAATTACGTTTGGAAACACCTTTTGTCCTGATAAGCACCCGTGCTTTTTAGCAGGAAAATCCCATCCTAAGTTGCTATGAGGTTGACTGCGAGATACTGGGTACCCTATTTGCTACTATTTGCCACTATTTGCCACTAAATGTATTTACCACTATTTGCCACTATTCACCACTATTCGAGACTGTTCGCCACTATTCGCACTATTCGAACTGTTTGCTATTCGCTATTCGGGACTATTCACTGGTCGTTATTCGCGACTATTTGCTATTTCCTATTCGGGTTTTCCAGACACCCGTTTCTAAACGTAATTTCTTCCGGCTGTTTTAACTTTATTAGGTTATCCTTGTGTTTTCTGATTTCTTAATGTCGGCGATGAACAGCCTGCTAGCCTGAGTCCAGAGAAGAAAAGGTAATAAATCCACTGAAATTCTGTTGCTTATTTGGATAATTTATAATTAATGCTGGATATTAGATGTAAAGCGGTGACTATTAACGACTATTCGTCATAATTCGCCACTTTTCGCAACTGTTCGCCACTATTTGCACTATTCGGGACTATTCACCATTCACTATTCGCGACTATTCGCTATTCGCTATTCGGGTTTTCCAGACACCCCGAAAGAAAAAATTGACCAGTGTGTCAGGACCAAAAATTAATGAATTAAATTCCGGCCCGTTCAGCGCCTTAATCGCTTGTGCTAACGAAGCAACAGTAGGAAATTAGCTTAATTATATGAATACAAAACTTGTATCGGTTCGAACAACTAGTGGCAAATGGGGTGCTTTGGTGACTTCATTGTCCAGCGAGATAAAAGGTATCTTCAAAAGTTCAACAAAAGATCTCCAAACGATAACACTAGGAAAACTGAGTTTTTTTGCACACATTATTTCTTGAAAACGAAGTGCAAACCAGCAAAAAAAACTTCAGAGCAATGTTTCTCAAGTTAAATGAAGCCCACATGCCAAAATTCAGCTCGAAAAATCTAGGGGACATTCCTGCACGCGGCCTTTCAATAATATTATTTGGACCAGATCAAGGTCAGATCTATAGGAGCTACAAAACTGGATAAATGGCACTGACCCTGAGTGTGAATGAATTTACAAATGACCATTCTTGAACTACCAACTTGGTCAGGTGTGATAATAATGATCTCTCTGAATTTCACTCCACAAAATATTAATTAATGTATGAATTGGGTACAAGTACTCATCCTTACTTATTGTTAAAAGTAGCATTAGTGCTCCAGCCATCATAGTCATCAGTGGATATGTTATATCTGAAAAGTGAAGAACAGCTATTTAAATTTTTTTGAATTAAAATTAATTGGTCAGGACCATTTGTAGCTGTAGGGAATTGAGCTAGTGGACCAAAAACAGACACTTCTTAAAACATCTGTCCAAGACATAACATACAAAACGGGACATTTCTGGAATTCATCTACACATGTACTTTTCAGCTAGAATTTCTGAAGTGCATAAGATGGAATGGAGTAAGTTACAACACTGTACATATGTATTACATGAATGTGTGGCATGTATATGCTTACCTTATTCTAAAAACACAGCGCTGAGCATGACCAGATGGAAAGTTAGGAATTGTCCAAGTAAAGTTTGGAGTCACACCCTCTGGAGTGTTACCAAGGTGATTGTCCCGTGTCCAAGGAGCCTGGCCACAGTATGGTTCATCAAGTTTCACCAAGCACTGGGGCTTATCAGAGCCATGAGGGATGCCCCAAACAAAACGATCTCCTGCCTCCTGACAGCTCTTCTCTTTATTGTACTGGGGAGGCATCTTCTCAAGGAAATTTGTAAATATCATCCATTTCCCATTGTTGTCTGTGCAATCTTTGGCATTGTTGTACTTTGACCAGTGTTTGCGTACTTTTCCACCAGGGTAATACTCAACACACTCTCCTATTTGTGGATCAAAGACAGCATCATTTAAGGATTGATTAATTATACATGAATTGATTCGTGATCAATGAATCAAATTATCTTTTTTATAATAATACCAACGTCAATTCAATGACTGTCAAAGGCACACCAGGCAATATTTCGGCACATCAACTAATGGATCGCTACACTGGGTATTTTTTTTACAATTCTTAATTAGTTAAGATCCTATACAACCAGAAAGTCCTCAAATAACTCTTAATAACTACATGTAGATAAGTTAAACATAAATCTACATGACTGTGTAGAAGTCAAGTCTGTGAGGATCCCTAACAGTTTTACCAGTGACCACATGCTACAAGACTAAATACCGCTACTCCCCCAGCCCACCCCTAACCCACCCCACTCCACCCAGGATGTAAAACTTACTTAAATGCAGGTGAAGATTTTTAACTTTGATTGCATGACTGTACATCACCAAAAATCCCAAAGTACTCACAATTTTATTTGTATAAATTTACCTTTTGGTTCAACATTAAAGCTGTGCTTCTTATAATATTCACACTTAGACGTATCACTGGTTAAAATTGCAATGTCTTTCCACTCTGTTGGATGCCAGTATGGATAATAGTCCCTCTCCTCTGGACACTCATATCCTCGCCGTGTGCCTGTGGGATTCTGCCTTGTGTAGATACTCTCTTGACCGGCTAACTTTTGATCAGCGGTGAACAAACCTGTAAGTGTTTGACAAATTAATGGAATTAATACATTTCTCAGTATAAATGGCATTAAAAGTCACCTTTTTCCATATCATGCAGCTTCATTGCATTTAACCCAGCTCCTGGAAACCCTGGAACCAGCTGTACAATGGTGATAGCCTTGCTACCATTGGCTATCTTAACTGCAGGGCTGTCATTAAGGGCCGTAACCCGTAACACCTGTTACGACTATGTATGCTCGATTGGCCCTTGATGCTACGGGTGAACTTGCCTGCCGTTGATATAATCCACTCATAAAGCAACAAGTTTGTTACAGGGTGTGAAGATCAAGGCTACTGGTGAATGACAGCCCTAAACTGTTACTGTGATTGAAGGTGGGTCATGTCATTTCATGTGCACACTCCTTAAGGGGACCACATTACTTTATGCATTAGTGCCAATGCAAAATGAAAATGCACCAGCTCACCCCCTCCTCTAATGAATGACCAGTTCCTAAGAGAACAATCAAGCTTTCTTTGGGTACTTCCAGGACTTTCCAGGTTTTTCAGGACCCATATGAACCCGGCTTCTAGCTGATGTCACAAGAAATGCTTAAGGGTACATGCAAGAGCTCTGACCGAGTCTCTCATTATTCAATAAATGCTTCTTGGCAAGTGTGGCCCAAGAGAAAATGCATAAAGAGGGGAACGGGAAGACCAAAACAATCCTGGAGACACATAGTGACAAAAGAGCTGGAGAACTTCAGCACCACATGGGGTGGGGCTGGACTGATTACAAAAAACAGAGTCTGGTAAAGAGCTACAGCTAGTGAAAGCACTATGCATCAAGAGGGGCAAGGAGGATTAATGAATAATGAATGCATATGAGGAAAAATGTGAATACATGTAGTTAAAAAAAAAA